TGTTCCTGCAGTGTACGCTAAAGCTGTTAGAACCCAGGGGCTCAGGGACGAGTTGCTTCATGCTGATTCCTTCTCCCTCATGCAGCCATGGGAAGTTCATAACTTTTCTGGTTTTGCAAGAGGGAATGGGGCAAACCACAAGGAGAGATGCAAACAGCTTTCTCACACATTGAGAGCCCGGGGCTTGCCATTCTTTTCTGGCACAATGTCTCCAGCCCAGATCTTGTCTGAAAGAGACATGGGAATGCAACGTTTGGCCTCTGTGCCAGGTCACCTTGGGGTTCCTGGAACCTTATCAAGGGGACCAGTGAAGAGATGATGAGCAAGACAGGTTGCCCTCTGTTGCACCATTCGGTGCTGGCGTTTTCTGGCAGATCGTCGTCAACACGGGCCCTGATGTAGACAGAGCCCGTGCGAGTGAAGTGATCGCCCAGAAAGCTGCCACAACCCCCTTCCAGTGCAACAGACCGACAGACTCCTCTTCCGCAGCCCACGGGAAGGCTCAGTGCCCACCAGCGGGAAGGAAAGGGGAGACTCAGAGCTTTGGTGGAAGGGAGGGCACTGCCGGCGAAGGACGCAAGTAGCAACACCAGCCACACTTCTGGAAGGGTACAATTTTGCTTGGGCATCCTGGTTTCCTTCACATACTGTAATAGTGATGCTAAGGAGGCAGATGTGCTGAAAGGGAACTGGGCCCTTCTGGTGGCTCCACAGCAGCATCCTTACGTGGGTACCTAAGACAGCAGACAATGGCGTGAATGGAACAGCCTTCACTTGACTTAATGCAGGAAGTCAGTTTATGCTTCAACAATGTTTTTAAACAGAGCCCTGAGGTTTCTCTTTCCTCTCAAGAACCAACCTTTCAGGATGGAATAAAAATCCGACTAAATGGCCAGAGATTTTATCTCAGGGGGATCCTTTTCAGTGCCAGGCGGAGCAGATACAGAATTGTCACCCATTTACAACTTTTTTTCCCGAGGGATGAACTGGAATGACGTCCAGCTGGAATGTCACCAGAGACAACCACGTGGAACCCTCTGAGGGCAAGTAAATCGTAAGAAATTCACCCAGATTCTTGGCTGGATCTGAGTCATGATCCTGCATCTTGGCTTGACTGGACACTCCCTTTCCCCCACCTTTGCAGAGAAAGACTTGGACTCAAGAGGAGTTTCCAGCGGTGGGGAAAGCCTCGGCTCTAGGATCACATGGCTGGTGGGAATTATCAAGAGAACCAAACTGTATGAAACTCTTCAACCTCGGCGGCTGCCATCACCACTGAATTTGGAGCTGGAAGCATTCCCTAAGGTTAAGTGTGCAGAGAGACAGGGGCCAGACAGGGGGGCCTGCCCGCTGCTCGAGGTGGATCATGCCAACTTTTCTGGAGCTGCTCACCTGTATGTGTCCTCCGATGAGCCTTCAGGTGGGAGCTTTTCGTGTAAACCTTATTGCACCCTTCGAAATCGCACCTGTGGATCCGGCGCTTTCGGGAGTCGGGCGATTCAGACCTTCTCTGACGTCTTGTGCTCTCAATACTAAACGGTGAAATTGAACTGTGAAAGAGAAGGAAATCAGGAAGTTAGACCACTCGTTCCCTCCGCGATGAGAAAAAAGTGAGATTGGTGGCAACAGACAGAGAGGTTAAAGGAGAAATGCAATCACTGGACACTTTTCATTAACGCTTCTTAACTCCGCCAGAGTCTTCCTCTGGGGGACTTCCTGACTCTAGAACCGGCTCACGTTGACCTACAAAGCCAAGTCCTTTCTACCGGGAAGCCCCTCGGGGATTGGGGAGGGGGGTAAACTTCTGCTTCTGATGCCGGCCTGGAATGCGGAAAAGAGGACGGGGGGGGCGGTTCTCACGGCAGGACAGGATGCCAGGTTGAGTGAACGGGGCCTTCTCAAGAGATGGAGGGCTTTGCAGGCCTCGTGGAGAGGCTGCTCTTTTGGCCCAAGCTTCCTTGACAAGCAATGTTATATTTCAAAATCTGCTCTCTCCGCACAACAACTATATTCAGAAACTTTGGGTATCCCATTTTGAGGAGAAGGTGTGGGGTTTTTTTTACAGTTGATTGAGATACAGTATTTTAGAAACTTCAGAAAACAGGAAAAGACGTAACATTTGATTCTATGCCGGGTCACACCCCTGTTAATTTTGTTTCAAGAAACAGATTTTACTCTTTTCTCCCTACCCCTACATCTGTTTTAGTCAATCATCATTGAGGTACCCACCTCTATCAAATGAATTTACGCAGCTGGCAAACGTGCTTGGAGAAAAGCACTTCGCGCACGCAGGAGAAATGGACGGGTCTCCTTGGAGGCAACGCTGCTCCCCGCGTCCCCCAAAGACACCCCCCCTTAGGAGCAGGTCTCTAGAGGGAGACCGAGGGGTCCTTGCTCCCCCGCAAACTGCACTCGCACCCGCAGCGGCTCCCCTTCGCCCAGGGCCTGCTCAACACGTGCAAGGGAGGGGAGCTGCTGTGCGCCGAGTGGTGTGTGCAGGAGAGCCGGGCGCGAAGAGGGACTTTTCCAGAAGTCTCCCTCCCCTTCCACCCTGCTTCCTCCTAGACTCCTCCGTCAGCGGTGCTTTGGGAGGTCACTGCACTCAGAACTCCCCAAAGTCCCTTCCGCTTGCCTTCCTGGCAGCTACTTTCAGAGACGGAGGAAGTGCAGTGTAACCAGGAGAAATGCTATCATAGAACTAAGGAGGAAAGAAGATGCTCAGCATCCAGGAACAGCTTTACCTTACTCTTAACAGCTGCCTAGAGTCATTATATGAGACCCAGAAGTCCTGTAAATTAATAAACAAACAAACAGATTTGTTGCTTGGATTAATGCACTTGTTCCTTGCATGACTGAGTCATTTTCTAACTTTGGGCCACTTATGGGAGGTGATTTATAACCTGGCAAAAGCTACCAGACAAGATAACTGCCATGTGCTTGGCTTTCAAATACAACAATACAAAATACAAAATACTTTAATGACCAAGTATAAAATATATACAAGGAATTTGTCTTTGGTGACGAACAGCAAGATTAACGGTGCGTTTGGCTTTCAAATGCTACTTTAGAGAGTGTGGCCTAATAGCTTATAGTACACGGAAGCTGTGATAGTCCAGGATACCCGTGGTCTTCCTTCAGAGTTTCACCTTTCACAGATCTACCTGACACTCCTCCTTCGTCTCCTTCCATAGAGGCTTGGACCTCAGAGGCAATAAATGCTGTTTCCATAACGTTAAGTGCCTTACGGAGCCATCCTACAGTCGCTCACAAGCACGGCCACCAGGTTTCTGAAAAATATGGCCATGCGACACGCACAACCTCGCTTCCAAAATCCTGTCCTGGCTCACTAATCTTCTTCCCAGTTTCTGCCACTTTGGGAGATAATTTTGCTCAGCCCAGTGGTGACAACACACTGGTCTACTGCTCTGGAGCACTTGGAAGAGTTGCAGACCTTTGTCTCCACACTTCTGTTCTCCTCTGTAAAGAAACAAAAGTCATCATATTCTAGCCTTCCCCAGCTCGTGCCCTGCGCTCAGATCTGGACTGCAACTCCAGAACAATGGGCTCCAAGTTAAAGATGGAGGGCATGTTCCATGGCCATTTTAATTAGGTGCAGTGATTAGCCCTAATCATTTCAAGCTGAAGATTTTCATCCCTCCACTAGATGGAGAAAAGCCTCTTTGGAACAGCCAGAGGATCCAAACAAGCCACCGAGCAGCCTCATCCCTCCCTTTCGCTTGGCGGCACTCCTTCCCCCCCAGTGTTCCTTGCACGGCTTCCTTTGTCTGGCCGGCGAAACCACCTGATTTCACAGGGTTTGGCCCCTGGAGTTGATACAAACAATGGCCTTCACTGCTTTAAAATCAGCCGTGTGCCTGAAGGGAAAAACAGATCTTACTTAATATATTGTCTTATTTCAAATTGTTTTGTCAAGGTTGATGATAAATAAAATATAATAAAATTAAGTCAGTTAGCTTTTGGAGGGGCAAACAAATAAGGCCTGCTTCCTACACGGCTTTTGTTTTATCACAAAGCAATTTATCTTTGTTTCCACTTAATAACGCATAAAACTGTAGCCAAAACTGAATCTTCAGTGCAGAAATTCCACACTTGGTGGCCCAAAAGTGCGTAGGTGGACCATATCTTCCATTGTACAAGAAAACAAATCCTTTAATTTGAACTACTGTCAAAGGAGACTCCTCTCTCTGGAAGTCTGGTGTTAAATCCAAGTTTGATATGAAGACAGAGAATTTTAAGAACAGAAATGCAGAGTACAAGGCACAGAGACCATCTGGCCACCATCTTCGCTAATAATAAAATTAAGCACAGACTCTAAAATGAGGTATCTGCTAATATGTGCACAAGGAGAAAAACAGACTTTTGTGCTGCAAAAATCCAGATGCCCAGCAGATGGCGAGAAAAAGAGAGGATTCCCTGTATCTCTTTACTGCCCTCCTGTGGTCACCTGGTTTTGCGCAGCTCAGGCCTGGTAGCCCAAGGAAAGCAGTCTTAAATTCTAAGCCCGGGGATGGTTACCCGCTAGCCCAAAGTGTGCTCTGGAGCCTGGCTTTACGCATTTCTGGTAAGCTGGAGCAGTGAGTAAAGCTGGATGCAACGACGTAAAGGCAGCCAGACAGGAATGGCAAAGCGCTTTGACGTCCTGCAGCAACATGACATCTCATTATTCAGTAATCTATGATTCCACAGAGGAATCAAATGTGCTTACATATATTACTTGTGGTACCAGAGGAAAAAAGTGGCTAAAAGAAAATTTACCGCTACAGTAGGAATTTGGGCACTATATTCACGTAGCATGATGTTCCCCGATTTTGACCTATGGAGTAATCTACACATCTGGTACAAATTTGCAGTGATATATGTATCAAAATTGCATAGGACTGGAAGAAAAGCCAGCTCTTTGGGCACAGTCCCATATATCGAGGGTTATAAATTCTCCCAACTAAGGCTGGGCAATTTATTACAATTTCTGGTTTGCCTCCAAGATCATGGAATCGCAAAGCTCCAAATCTCGAAGCATATCATTCATCTTTTCGCCTGGTTTCCTGCAGTGAAGCAGGGATGGAAAATCGCGTGGTTGAGTAATCTCCTCTCCTGCAGTGCAGCAAGGACAGAAAGACAAATCGAAGGCTGCCCGGGAACTTCCTCCACCCACCTTTCTCCTTGGAGAAGACCAGCCTCGCTCTTGCTCCAAACTCACGGGAAGGAAATTTCAGGAACCCCCCAGGATTCATAATACATAATGTGCAGGATGTACAATCATCCAGGTGGTAACTGTTTTTTTTTTATTGTTTTTATGGTTTGATTGGACACTGCCCAGAGTCACGTTTCATGAGATGGGCAGCCGTACAAATATGACACATACATACATACATACATACATACATCCCTTCTGTCACCCTAAAAGGACCAAGAAACGAAGCAGAAGGGGAGGAGAGACAGACCCTTGAAAGGACAGACTTACAATAGCCAGTCACCTGTTGACTGGGGGTGACAGCAAAGGAAAATTAGTCCCACGTGGCTTTTCTGACCAATTCAGAAGTGTACCCTGTGTGTTGAGATTTCCTTGAAAATTCAAAGTATATTATTTTGGGGCCACCCCTCCCACATTCCATCCCAAGGGAAAATGGGTTGACTTGTGACACTCGGAAGCATGTGGCTCTGCGCCTCTTCCTTTCCAGCTGGACGGAGAACCAGGGGCTCTGTGCGCTTCCTGAACGATTCCTGCCATCAGAGGCAGCCCAGGCAGTTGGACTCAGTAACGCTGGGAGGGGGGCAAGTTCCTCAATTCTGTATTAAATGTTTGCTTGATTAGCAACAGGAGGATTTGCACACCCTGGATCACCTTCAGCAGTGTGTCTCTGGATCTAACATAAAATCCACAGTGAACAATGTACAAAGCAAGCAGTTGTGGACTCTTGCAAGAGCCATGGGAAACTTTTGTTATGAAAACTGTGTCCGTGTTTTAAACAAAACAAAAATAGCCAAGACCTACATCATCCCAAAGAGGAAACAGATCAAAAAGTATATAAATAAAATAGTTTTGTGTGCACCCATGAGTAAAAGAAGTGAAAAATGAGGACAGAACCTGATTTAAATTAAATATTGCCTACTAACTAGAGACAAAATTAACAGGTGAGGATGACCTATGCTCAGCTAGGTTTAACAAGGCCCCAGACAAACTCAGCTATGAATAAGAACAGCTTCAGTGAAGAAGTAGGGTGTGAAGGAACCTCAGCCACAGATGCTCCCTGGGTGGCTTTGGGCCAGTCCCCTTCTCTTCCTAGCCCACCTCACACATTGATGTTTTGGGGGAAAATGGAGGGGGGAGTGCCAGCTAATGCCCCCTTGAGCTCCTAAAGGAAAGGCGGGATAGAAATCTAACAGATAAAGAAATAAAATGGAAGCATTTTAGGGCAAAGACTGAGAGATTGGAAAAAAGGTTGACTGGAAAAATGAGGATGGTTGGAAAGATATCAAGAAAGTACAGAAGCTGCAAATACCCCTTTCATCTTGCTGATTCCGCCAAAGT